AAAAAAGCTTTTTTGTTTACTGAAGCTAACAGGTGACGATTGGGTTGTGGATGGGGAAAAAAAATTATTGCAGTCAAGAAAAGTGGTCAGAAAAATGGTATTCTGGTATTGTGGCTATTGTTTTTGTTGGTGGTGGTGGTGATGGTGATGGTAATGTTTTTCATGTTGTTGCAAAGATGGCGCTTAAAAACATGAAAAACAATGAATAATTTTTTTGAACAGTCTTTTTCCACGTACATCAATCTGCGCTTCTCATCTTTTGATGATAATTAATGAAAAAGAAAAACTGTAGCGGTTACAAGTTTTTCATTCCCGTTTTTCGTTCGTACTTTTTTTTTTTTTGTTTTTTATTTTCAATTTTTTTTTCGCTGTTTATGTTGTTCGACAACAAAACCTTACTGTGTGATCAGACATAAGGAAAAAAAAAGTTTGTTGTTATTTTTTTTCTGTTTTTGTTTTTGTTTTACGTTACAATGCAGTGAACAAAGAAGAAGAAAGCGAGAAAACGACAAGACAGACTTTATATTATCGCCATGTTAAGTGCTGTACTTTCACTACTGTCTGTATATATTGGAACCATCTTCGGTATTGTTGGTGCAACAGTATTACTGATATTATTCGGATTTGGTTGGGGTCCGCTGCCACATCTGTATGTACGACTTGTAGCATTTTTGCAAAGTTTCTATCCGCATGCTTATCCACGAGCCGAGGCCACATGGCCGGCAATTATTCGACGATGTAATGTATCGGCGTTGGAGAAACATCGAAATGATTCGTTATCATCATTTAAATTCAGGTGAGTTAATCGGCAACAGTCTTTAATTTACGTTGCATTATTAATTTTGTTGCAGATTCGTTCTTTTGCTTCCCCTTCTCCTCCCCCTTCTCATTTTTTTTTTCAGTGTTTGTCTATGAAAGTAGATTATCAAGACGTTCTGGCGGGGTGATGGTGACCTTTTGTTGATGGTATAAACATAAACCATCATCGTTTGTAGATTAGGAATTGGCATCTATTATGAACAAAAGCTAAACTGTAGTGTTCTGTAAAGAGTAGTCAAATTTGATTGTTTTCGGCTTAGCTAGCAAGACTGAAAACAAAACAGAATGGGATGGAATAGCAGAGTTTCCGAACTGTGCTATAATTTGGAACATTTTCTAAACTTTTTTGAGCATGTTATACCAATTGGCAGGAAGAAAAAAAAGAAGTATACTGAAACGGCGTTAATATAAAACCACTTTTATTATTGTTCATTCCCTTTTCCTTGCTC